TTTCTTTCCTTCCTCTCTCTCTCTCTCTCTCTCTCTCTTCTCCTCTTCCTCCCCCGCTTATCTCATACCGCTGTCAATCAAATGCATTTTTCAAAGTTTTTTTTTTTTTTTTTTGAGGGACTTTTTTTTACACTTTCTTTGTTAGTGAAATTTTCGACTGTTTTTTTTCTCTTTTTTGCTGTTTTTTCGTTATATTTGCAACAAAGAAAACATTAGAAAATGAAAAGAGAAAGGAACAAATATGCCGGAAAAATTGTATGCATTCAGGAAATTGATTTGATGTAATTTGAAGCAATTCATAAAATGTTAATTAATTAGAAATTTAAACAAATTTTGGGATAAATACCTTGAAAAGGAATTTCAAATTAATTGATAAATTCATTTGTTATAATTTATTTATAAAACATATGTTGAATTGCAATAAATTTCACGTTTGAAATTGTTCCATTAATGGTTTTCATCCTCATTTCTTCTTCCTGTCACTTTTTCCTTCCATCAAATTTTCACTTTTCCAAAATTTAGGTTTATAATTGTCCCTTAAACTAAATGTAAGTTATGTTTTTATCAAAAGTGCATGCTTTAAATTCATTCAAAAGTACCTATTTTTTTTTCTTTTAATACATCCAATTTTATTCGTATATAAAAAGGAAATGGCTCATTTAGTGAAAGATAAGATATGAAGTAATTATCTAGATTTATTTATTATTCAATTGCAAAAACATTCAAGTTTATCGATGTCAAAAGTTCATCCTCTTCCATGCCAATCATTCAAGTTAAATTTAAATAAAAAAAAAGCACTGTTAGAAGACATTTTTATTAATCCGATGGATCTTTAGCCATAATTAAGCACAATTAATCAATTAATTTAAATATAAGTGATAAAATCTTCAAAATAAGGGAATTAGCCGAAGGCAATGTTGTTGTTGATTGGATAGTTAGATCGTGCTTCGGATAGTTAGAATTCTTGCAATCTATATGCTTCTTACTAATTTCTAATAAAATAAATGATCATATCAACTGTGACAATTACTGTTTTTAAAATATAAAGCAATTGTCGAAATCTTTGGTTTGGGAAAACTTTCGAAGCTGAAAAACGGAAAGGAAAAAAAAAGTTTCCTGATAACTTTTCGGATGATCCTAAATTTCAAATTTCCGACCAAAAATCTTTATTCTTTTTCCTTCTAAAAAGAAGATTGAAATACAAAATATCGAATCAGTATTATTATCATTAAATGCTATCTGTCACTTTTTCAAAAAGTTAGAATTTTTTTTTCCAGGCAATTTCAAATACATTTGCATACTCTCTCAATTATTTTCATGAAATTGGAATGTCGAAGTGGCACAATTACAGGGTTTGATAATCTTTTTCCTTTTTCTATGCTTTTTGCAAAAGAAAAAAAATAAAAATAAAAATAAACCAAAGAAAAAAGACAAAAAAAAACTCTTTTAAAAAGAAAAAGAGACAGGTTTAGCTATTTCGAAACAATTTTGTTTACATCCAAACAAAGCGATAAGCTTTTAGCGAATCGTTGAAAGATTCAATGACAATATCAATTTAGCATTTTGCGAAATTTATCCCACTTCATTTTCATTATTTTTCCCAGCAACATCAACTTATCTTCTAATTTTCAATAATTTTCGAACGTTTCTTTGCAGTTCGTTGAAATGCACAAATTTTCAAATGAATTATTCTAATATTTTCGAGAAAAAATAAATTTTTTGACGAATTAAAAAAAAAAAACTTTTAGTCTTAAATGAGGTTTTGTGAACAAAACAGTCAGCATTTGCTTCACCTCTCACTTTCTAATTGAATTTTAGATTAGATTTTCAACAGATGGATTTTATAGGATCATCAGAGCCAAATCTATTTTTTTTTTTGATTTTTTACAAAATAATTATAAAATAAAAATAGACTTTGTAAGGAACAAAAAATAAAAAAGAAACCATATCTTCATTCCAGTTAAATGCAATGCAATTTTCATTCATTCTGGCATTGTATATAAGTAAAGCAAATGTAAAATTGTAATTAAATCAGTCATTTAGGTTCCAAAATTTTTGCAATTAATTTAGATTCAACCAACAAAACGGCAAAACAACATAAACACAACTTTTATGACTTAAGAAATTTCTGAGTAAATGATATTTCTCAAGCATTTAATTTTAATTGTGTTTGGTTATTTGCTATGCTTTAAAACGAGTTTTTTTTTTTGTTTTTGTTTAGTTAATAGTTAAAATAATGATCATAATAGCTAAGAGATTTTTTTTATTATTCATTCGTAATTAATCTTTGAAAAAAAAACTATTAAATAAAACTTTGATTTCTATAATTGAAATTGAGGGATATTTGTTGACAACATTTTTTTACACATCCAATGATAAACAAATAAAAATCTATCGTATCATCTGAAGAAAATGAAGAAGAGAAAAAAAGAAAAAAAAAAAGGATTTTTTTTGTTTGTTTTTACACATTTTTCACTCATCTTCACATTCATCCATTTTGCTTCTAACCATTTGATTGTGAAAAAGGTGAAGAGATTTGCTTAACTTCAAGTGCTTATAATTCACAAAACATTTCGAAATGAGCTTCTCAGATATGTGTTATTTGATCGCTTTCACTTCAACAAATCAAATATAATACCACTTACTTTAATAACACCAAAATTCTACAACAATCATTTATTTCATTTTTGGTCCATCTCTTCCTCTTCCTTTTCCTTTTCCTCTTCCTTCTTCCTTTCTTTACAAAATTACATCTTTCATTTTGAATGAGGAATGACCAAGATTTAAAAGGGATAGAAATTTTAGTTATGAGGAAACTTTTATTTCTCACTTTATTTCTACTATTACATTTCTTCATCCTCCTTTTCTTTTTTTTTTTTTTAACGTTGAATGAAAATATTAGAGAAAGGTAGGAAGGATAAAAAACTTTCCTGAAATAAGATGGTGAATGGATTCTGGAAAAGCTATAAAAGTTTAAAAAAAGGAAAGGAAAAAATCATCTTCTTTTAACTTGGATATATTTCAGGGAGGAAAAAAAAATTTTTAATAGGAGAAAGGGAAAAAAAAGAAATAATACATTATTTCTAACAACCATCCTATTTGCTATCTTCATCATTCGTTCAATTGACAATTGACCAAAAAAAAAAAGCATATTTTTTTTCCAATGAATATTTGTTTAATATCATGTGTCACATCATCTGTCATTCGATCAAAAAAAAAAAAAGAAAAATTCTTTTTAATTTATCAATTTTTCGTTTATTCTTTCCTAAAGTAGCAACATTTTTTCTCCAGTTAGACAGAAGTTTGTTTTTTTGGCAATAAAATATTTTTAAAAAAAAGTTTCCAAGAATAAAATTTGACATATTTCCCA